CTATATGGAATAAATCAAACCTTGGTCACTCACAGGGATCATGTCAGGGTATTTCTGACCTGGCAGCAGTTCAGCTAGCTTGAAGTGGGGTTGGTGGGGCTGCCCTCCTTCCTCTTAGCATCAACTCCTACCTGACCAAGACAGGAGGATAGGTTATCAGCCAAGTTGGAATGGTTTCCGTGTGTGATGCTTCTGTGGATCCAAGAAGCCCAGCCCAGGTCTGTAGTGGACACTGCCGCTGCACAGCCAGACCCTGACTGTGTGGCTTGTTTCGGTAATGAACTCTGCTGCTTGGGCACTCAGTATGCCTAGGCTGGTGCTTGGAGGTCATGGTTAAACAGGGCAACTTATAGACAGTGGTGGTTATGATTAAAAATTACTTGGTAAGAGTCTCAAACAGTATGTGGCTTCCCAGAAAGCATGTTTCAAAGCTGGCACTGAAGTCACAGATACTTTCTTGGCAGTGAGCAGGCAGTGGCTTTGCTGCAGGCGCTGAAGAAAGTCCATGAAACAGACTCAGAGAAGTCTCTGGAGTCCCCAGGTATCCCTGCTTTCATTTCAGACAAGTTCCTATATTTGTGGGGGAAGCTTAAAAAGAATTTTCAAGCCTCAGAAAAAGAAGTGGTCAACAAAAAGCAAAGGACTTAGCCTTTTTTTTTTTTTTTTTTTTCTCTCTATACTGTATTTATATAGTTACTTCCTTTTTTGACTTTAGACTTACCTGTCCTGCATTAGGGTTGAAATAATCAAAGCTGAGGTCATGCAGTTGAGCTTCATTGCTATGGCTTCATCTTTGGCTGCAGCTTTAGTTCTATGGTTAGTACTCTGGCTCTCCAGATAAAATGTTCTGTGATCTGGCAAAGGCACACTGCAAGCTCAACGCTTCAAACAGAAATGTAGTTACTATTATGACACTGACCCATCTCCACCCCCCCTTTCCCAATTCTGAAGTTTTTCTATCAGTTGCTATTAGTCTGTGGGTTAATGTTTCTGTCCCTTCTTGTGGTGTGGGAAGCAGTCACAGAGAGGTTGAATTAGGATACATGAGAAATAGAGATGCTGATGCTACAGCCATGTTTGGGGTACACAGCAAGACAACCACTTTTTCTGCCTTTCTGGTCAGCATTTACTATTAAAAATGTAAGACTGGAAGCCACAAAATTTTTGGGTGGAAATGTAATTTGATGATTGATAATACTCCATTATGGGCTGGCACTGTAGCACTGTCTTTTTAGCTTCTCTGTGGTGTACAGCTAAAACTGAAAACATTCCCTGTTCATTCCTAATGTGTAAACAAAAGAGAACACATGTTACCTAAAAAAAAAGTGGGTGGGTAATTAATTAAGTGCTCCTTGATTTTTGTCATATGAGACTAAACTTTTGCGTATTTTCCTGTTTTCAGATACCATCCCAGAGGACTTTCAAGAATTTCAAGCTCAGCAATTTGGCGTTGGTGATATTTAAGAAGGAAAGGCAAACTACCCTTGCTATTGCAAACAATAAAATATATTTTAAATCCTTATATGGTTGTTGTTGTAAGAGTGCACACCGCAGCTTGTTCTTGTTGATGTGACTATGTCAGACTTCTTTTTGTATAAAAGTGAAAATAAAAGGGAGACAAAATAGACTGTGGCTTCACTTGTTTTCAAATCTGCCCTAAATCTGAGGAGCAGCATGTAATGGAGTGAAACTTTCTTAAAACATTCTCAGGAAAAGTTTGAATCTGTTGCCATTTTGGATTCAGTATTAAACAGAGTGGGGGGAAGAAAGCAACTTGTATATCTGGAATGTCAAAAACAAGAGGTTGCATCTGGGCATGAAGTTGTTGGAAGCTGTCTAGCCAAGCCAAGGGCTGCTTAGTACTTTTCCAGTCGTGTTAGGAAAAATTTTTATCTTCTTTAGAGCAGTTTAACTCCTCTGGAGACTTAAGTTACCTTTGGTAGACCTCCTCTGTGAACTCTTAGCACTCTGCTCTCCCACTCCCAGAAAACTATGAGTAACACTATCACATCTTCTAAAAGTGTTGTAGTCACATCTTAAGACTTACATGTGACTAAAAGTGAAAATGACATATGGAGATAAAGGCAGAAACACCTATAGAGAGAAAATAATCCTAACTTCCACATAAACAAAGCCAGGCTTTGACCTGCTGCCCCACTCAGAGATGAGCTTTCTCAGCAGCTACTGCAATCTTATAAATCACCAGGTTAAAAACCTGAAACACTGCATTAAGCATTTGTAGCCATTAGGAAAAAACTGGAAAACAAAAAGCAAAAGAAAATTGTATTACAATGCACTCTGTAATTGGAAACATAGAAAGGTGTGGGATACTCTGTGTGTGTCTGCTACCTTCTTTTTCAAAAGGGAGCCAGGAAAGGAAGGGAGGACAAGCTCCAAACACAGCTGAAGAGAAGGATATTGCAGGCATTACTTTAAAAAGGAGACTGGGAAACAGTACTTCAGCTTGGGGGGGAGGGAGAAAACACACAGAGGGGGAATACACTGAGGCCTTTAACAGTCAGAAGTTGCCACAAGAAAATGGAACAGTCATGGCTCTTTCCCAGCACAAGAATACAAGGGAAATGTGGGCATTAAATTATCAGGTGAGAATATCAAAACAAAACAAAAGTCTCCTGATCTCAGTACAATAAAAATACCTGTAAGGTTTATGGTGCTATCAATCAAAGGCTTGGGCTCCAGGAAGAGTTTTCACTGTGGGCTTGTCCTCAATTGACTAGGCTTCTGGGAGCAGCATGGCCCTAGGACCTGTCCCATGAGGGATCCCTGAGCCCCACAGCAAAGAGCACGATGCAGGAGCATTCCTCTGCCACAGCCCTTCAACATCAAAGTTTTGCCAGTTTCAATCCTCCTTACCCATGACATCATCAAACCCAACTTCACTCACCAGGTTTTCAACAGAGGATTGACAAACTAATTAATTTGGAGCAACAGAGAGTATAGTCAAATTATACTTAAAAGATGAAGAAAAAAGCCCCATCTTTTTCCAGCTGAACATGGGCTGTACTGCAGTGTTCTTCATTTATGAACAAGAACATAGACCAGATGATAAATGTAAAGCAAATTTATGTCTTCCTTATTGTGCATTTGCATTTCACTGGATGGAGCCCCTTCGCCAGGCAGAGATCCTCTCTGAATGGTTTGGGCACAATCCAGGCAGGAGGCTGTTACTGGTACTACAGGCATGGGTACACCCCAGCTGGGGCCTGCAGAGCATACATTTTGCACAAGTTGTCTCCTCACAGTGGCTGTAACAGGCCAGGCCCACTGTAACCTGCCTGCAGCGTGTACTGGTCAGAGCATGACAGCACCTATCAGCTCCATCAGAAAACACATACACAGCCTCTGAACCCCTGCCAGCCTTCAAACCTCCACCCAGCTCTCCTGCCTCCAGCTGGAGGTTCTTCTCCTGCTACAGTGTGTGGGAGGGAGCACCCTGGCTGTTTGCCACACCAGTTTGCCACCTTTGAGCTTGCCCATTTCCAGGCTCTCTTCCAGTTGCCACCATGGCCACTGGCCCCTGGAGGCTGGAAAATAAAACATAAGCTCTGGCTCTTGTGCTATCAAAGGTAGTTTCATGATGCTGTGAGCTTCTAACCTCTCCTGGCAGAAAACATACTGGCTTACTCAACTGACAGCCACAGAAAACAGGCACAGCTCAGACAGAAGTTTTCTTTTGTTTCAGAAGGTGCTGCAGGGACCTTACAATGGAATGCCAGAGCTCACTATGTCCATGTGTTGACACACCAACTGCTGGGTAGCCTGCAAGTTCAGGAACAGCAAAGTCCAGCTGTTGCAGGCAAAGATTTGCCCCAAGGTCATAGTCCAGGCTTGGGAAACCTCCTGCCCCTCACATTCCCATCAGTCTGTGCAGTCCCTGTGTGCAAGTGTTTAAACGAGCTCCTCTTGCACCACCACCTCTTTCTGGAGTATTGTGCAATGCAGACATAAACTCCATGTGTGGCCTCTGGCAAGTAAAGACCCTGCAATCCCACATCTTCAAACTGAAATGTGTAGTTCTGTCTCACCCTCACTGCCTGCACAGCTGGGCTGCACTCAGCTGGATCAGCAGCTGCAACTACTTTGGAGTTCAGAGGTCTGGGGCTCCTGCACCAGGGTCTAATGTCTCACCAAAGGTTGAGGCGCTTTCCTGTGTGCTACAAACACCAGGACACACTTCAAATACTTCTGTTCCCTGAAGACCATCCTCTGGTTTGCAGCATCATAAGAGAACATCCTGCCAGGATGCTGCAGGGTGGGCAGACAGCTGGGAGGCTGCTGAGCAAGGGTCACTGGCTCTCACAGACCCTTAGCACCACTCAGGAACTGCTCTCTTCCTTGCACCTTAAGTCAAAACACACAGCCTCCCAGCTACATGCAGAGAACTCTTGAGCACCAGAGCTGCATGTATGCCATTTGACCCTTTGAAACCTTGTCAGTAGTTTCTCATCACCACAAGGAATCAGTGTCCTGGTGTGCATCTGGTCAGCTCTTCAGCATGGGTGCAACCAGTACCAGCAGGCAGGCCACAGATGGCAGATGCTGAAACAGAACTCCACAACAGCCCGAACATGGATGTTGAGAAGCAAGGGAGCAAGACACATGGATATGAAGCACTTTCCTTGGTGAGGATCTAGGTGTCAAATTCAGCAGCTGCCTACCCCACCATCTGTGCAACTGCGAAAAAAAGAATGAGATATCCTTGTTTCAAACAACTTCTCAGGCTTCAGTGCTATACTTGGCCTGGAAAATATTTTCTTTGCACTATCAGAGGTATCTGACACATCTCAGAGAGCTGGATTGTACAGAGCAGATGCCATGGACAAATCTATGCAACCTGCCATCTTCCAAGATCACACTCTGGAGGAATAAAAAAATAACATGGACTGAAAAGCCATGTAATATTCCATAGGCCAACTTTTTTTTGTTAAACAACATTCAAATGAAAAAAAAAAAAAAAAAAAAAAATCAACAAATTTACTGGCTCTGTAACTGCTTAGCTCATATATTTATATATTTTAAAAGTTTATCCTAAAATTAGTTGTCTTTTCAACTTCTATATATCATAAGATTCATTTCAAATGTAAGAAAAACTTTATTGGTCCATTAAACATTAAATCTATAATGATACATTCAGTCAGTATACAAAAGGAAGTGTCCATATAAACCATTAACATGCTCTGAAAAGGCAAATCTGTTGACTCCTTTACAATTGAGATCTTACAATTCTGAAATCTTTACCAATCCTTAAAAGTGTTACAGTTACTACAGATCACAACACTTGCAAAATATGTTAAACTAGCAAATCTCCACTGGGCTACAATTTAGTAAAATAAAACCACACATACACCCAAAAAGTTCCCTTAGATATTAAGAACCTTGAAAAAGACTAATTAAAAACCCCTCACCATTAAGAAAAAGTTTTACATTTTTACTACTTTGCATCCAGTTTTCCAACATGGTGTACAGGAGACTGAACACCATTCATCAGTCGTAAACAAAAAGCAGACAGTGAGCCATAAGTTCCTAGTCAGTATTTTCTCATCTTGTATATTACAAGTTGAACCATTTTCTCTTAAAGTTAATTCTCCTTGCTTTAAGTTTGCATGGATGTTCAATGACACCTAAGCACCTGGACATGTACTGGTAATAGGAAAAACAAAGCTATGGTACGAGTAACGAGACATTATTTCCCCATTGTCTTCCAAAATTATTCTTGGCTTCACACTGAGGCTTCTTTGGCAAAAGCACAGCTGCAGTGCTGCACCCCACAGCTCTGGTGAAAAAAAGCCCTGGAAGCTTTAAGCTGATGTGGAGTGGTTTCAAAGCTGACAACTGTGGCTCTGAAGAAGTTTGCAAATGGCTGTATGCTACGCACTTGGAACTATCAGAGACTGGCAAAGGGGGGGAAACCCACATGGCTTATATCTGAAATAAATTCCAACTTTTAAAAAATAACATTATTGAACGGGTGCGGAATGAGTTGAAACCAGGTTTGAGAAAAAAACAAAGCAAAACAGGATTTAAGGTCTACTTGAAACCCACAGTTTCTTCATGCATTAGAAAGCAGACATCATGTCAGTCTTCCAAAGTTTTTACTTCAAACCCTGCACAGTGTGTCTGCATTCCCATCCTGGGGCACATGGGCATTCTGCCATCAGGATGTTGGAAATGTAGAGACATACATTCCCAAGCTGCGTATCCTGTTACAAGTCCAAAACCCCAAAGCTTTCTAAGCACTTGACCCCTGGCATTCCCTTGTACAGTCATGTGAAACACTCAGTTCAAACTACTGTTTACAAAATTGAAAACACAAAGTAAAATGTCATGGTGCTGATTATGTTTTCCTCCCACAAAAACTTGCAGGCCACTTCAGAAAACAAAGCAGCAGTTTCCACAGAGGAAAACCAATCCATATAATAACTATGATCCTTGACTTCGCTTCAACACTGCAGGTTGTCCTGCTATAAAAAGGAAAGGATCAGTGAGACCTGGCAAAGAAGTCTTCGCTAGTTTCTAGCACCAAAGACATCCTGCTTGACAGGAAGCAGAATGGGAGTGAAGCAGGTTTACAACATCTTTAAAAAACAAATGCAAGGAGAAAAAGGCAAATAAAATGAGGAGATACAGCCTGCAAGCAAAAGACCTTGCATCTAAAGCCCAGAAGGAAAGATGAGGCAAAACTTTAGCTGCAAATTATCTCGCTCATCTAGCCACACAGCTACAATCTCACGGTATTTTGCTTCATCAATTTACTTAGGACAAAAGCCTAACAGTTTACAGCATAAAATCGTTAGAGCATGTTTTAAAAGCAGTCAGTGGGTTATTTTGTTACCAACCTGTTCAGAGGTGCCCATGATACTGTGAGCTACTAGCCAAAGTTGGAGCAGCACTACTTTGAGTTCCCAAATTTTCCTGATTCATTGGTCAAAATCAGAGAGCTGTTAAAAACCAGCTTTTTTCACAAGTGCAATGGTTGCTTCACTAATAGCAATGTTCTAGCCCAGAAATGGCTGATGAAGCAATTATACGTGCATAGTTCATAATTTCAAAGCGCTTCTAGATTTGTAAAAAGGTGCTCAAACACAAAATAAATAAATAAATAGACATGCAGTGTTTATGATTACTGTGAGGGGATAAACCCTCTCTCTGGACTACGCATACATTAGCAACACTGAATTACCCGTTTCAGACAAAAGTGACCCAATCCAGCCAGGATTTACTGAATTAGCTGGGCAAGTACAAGCTTTTTCAACCTCATGGAAATGCTTGAAGTACAAAGCAGAGAGTATCACAAACACGTAATAACAGTAAGAGTGACCACAGTGGAGTTCCTTACTTGGCACACAGCTGCAAGGGCTGCCTGCATGCTTTGAGGAACTAGATGGTAAACAGCAAACAAGCATATCCATCTGCTTTCCACAGATTCTTAATAAGGTTTTATGGTCTCATTTGTTAGGCCAGGTATTGGATTCAAAGACTTGCTCTCTGAGTCCATCCCACTGATTTTACCCCAAACAAAAACCAGTCAAGATTGTAGCTCAGTTGCCTTCATGAGAAAATAGGGAATTGTTCTAGTCTCAGATGGCAATGCAGCAGTGAGGTTCTAAATAACCTTTCTTCTGACAGCAAATTTGAAAAAGTAGGAAACCGCTAATAAAAGCATTTCACCTTCCCAGCAGAACTAACTTCTGCCAACATGGTCTATTCCTCCAAGAGTCCATTAAACGATAGCATTAGGTCAAATTCAAGTTTAGCTAGAGGAAACCTGGTACAGGACATGTAACAACAGCTTCCTCACTCCACACAGACCAAAAATACTAGGAAACAGAAATGATGCATGCTCACTTACGTCCAGGAGCAAATTCAGTTACGACTTGTGGCACAAGGCAGGACAGACATCCACAGAGAACTGCCTCAAGCAGAACAGTTATCTGCACTTTCAGGTATGGGGAAAGTTAACTGTTTACAGTTTACATGCAAATGTAAGCGACATTTACTCACTTATTCACAAAAGCATCAGGCTATTTGTGAGTTTTCCCAGTTCATCTTCCACTGCACAGTAATATCCGAATCAGTTGCATCCTCCACAGGTTTGTCAAGCACAGATTATTTGGTCTTCCACATGCACCATGGGTGTGACTGTCTTGTGCAAACTGGTGTAACGTACAAGGCAGCAGCACTCAGTCACAGGCTCAGTTCAGGTTTTTCAGCTCCAGTGCTACCTGAATTAGCTATCACAGCAATAGGTATGAAGGCACTTCTTAAAAAGGTTTTAAAAGCCCATTTGCATGAACTGTTCAGAATCTATGAACTGGGCATTTGAAACATTGACCCTAGCTGGGGGTTTTGTTAAGTAGTTGCACATGGAAGTTCACAGTACAGATTTTACACTGAACACTAAAGCTGTTACATTTGCCTGGCCAGCAGGACTCCGTGCCTCATTGAGGAACTAGAGGCTTTGCACACCCAGGTGCCACCAGTTACTGATTCCTTAGAGAGGCCTGAGAGCCATAGCTGGATCTGGGACCACAGCATGGACACATAGATTCTCAAAATTATTTTCAGGCCCTTTCCCACAGTGTTTCTCCTATGCTTTAGGGAACATCATTCACCAAGGAAGGAGCAAGAACCTGGACTATCTCAGCTGCAGTTCACAGCTCTATCACTGGATCAAGATTATCAGAATAGCTTCTATGAGTTAGGTGGGACAAGTTATCACTGCACACCCCATAAGCTCTCATCTTAGACATGGGACTGATAAAGGCTTTGAGATTTTGAATGCATTAACAAAGGCCTTTTCCTGCTGCAGAAGGATCTGCATGGCTGGATGCCAAACGCAGGCAGAGACACATGGACGGGTTCCCACACTAGCAGAGCTCTTGGTGAGATCAGAACATCCCTGCAGAAGCAAAGGGAAAGAAAAAACCCTGTCTCCCTCTCCAGAGCTGTTTGTTGCTTTTCTAACTCAATGTCAAAGCTAAGCTTCAACTGCTTTTTTTTCACCTAGGCACAAACAAGGAGAAGATCTGCAAAGAGAGTCACCTGTGGACAGACTCCACCTTCCCTCAGATCTCATGACAGATGTACTTTGAGGCTCCTAATCACTGCGGTAGGTGGTATAAGTATACAGGACTGGAGATTTGTAGATTTCATTTGAGGTAAGAGTGCACAGGGTTGTGAAGATCACATCCCTAGCAAGAGCCAGGCAGAACAGAAGCCCTAGGATACCCTAGTAACAAGGCAGCTAAAATTGGTAATGAAAATAAGAAAACTGAGATCTGTTATATTAGGATTACTCACCAGGTGTGCATTAGCCATCAATTGCTGCAACAGAACAAATAAGGCATGCAAATATTTTGTCCATCTTATTGGCCTCTATGTCACGCTTTTATATGTTCTGCAAAAAGCACTGGGTTTAAGGCTCAATCATCTTTTGTAAAACAACTGCTAAATCGGTTTTGTTTATATCCTGCATATTTCACATTGTATGGAGAGAGAGAGAGGGAGAGAGAGAGGAAACAAAACCTCCAGGACTAGTTTAAGTCCTAAATTCATCCCACCAGAACATAGAAAACTAATAGTAGGTTTAATCTCATTCAGCATTTAGGACATCTGAGCTGTTACTCTGCCACCAAATCATCTGCTTAAAGCAAACAGAAGTGATATGGTAAGGTTAAATATTGTCAAGTCAGTTCATTTGTACTACAGCAGCTGCTGCTACATTTCTGTCTTCTGGTTTTGTTTTTCTGACTGCTTACCTCACTGCTTGGAATAGAAGTTCTCCAAAAGAAGTTTACTCTCCATTAACAAATGGGTTGGCTAAGTCCCATCACAACAGCAAAACTAACATCAACAGAGGAGTGTTAAAATATAGCAGTTAGAACAAATACTTCCCAACCAACACACCGGCAGAAAAGGAAGATGATGCACCATAGTCCTTCTATGCATTTAAAATATTATAAAATTACAAATGGAAACAGAACTGAAGATCCTGGGAGATCTTTAGAATCAAATTGAAAGAGCAGGATAGAAAAGTAAATGAGTACTCCACTTTTAATTTTAACAGCAACTGGCAGCACTCCTGTAATCAGCATTTTCTCAACAGCAAACATTTTGAATAAAGAATGTACCGTATCTTAAATCCCCATGTAGTACACACAACTTGCTGTTTAAGTGACCTGGCAAAGCCAAGTTGGACAAAATTCAGAGTTTAAGTATTTGTGTGTAGAAATCCCCTTCTGTTAATAACTGGACCAGATCTGAATTGCATAAAATATTCAGATGCTTTTTAAAGTTATAATAGAATAAATACTCTATTATCATTGGTACATTCCTTTCTCAATCTAGGTATACAATAACTTAATATATTCAATATTTAGATAAACAATTTTTAGTAGATGCTTTGGCAATCAAATTCTTACATATTCTCTATTTCTAAAGAAGTATTTAGCTATGTTTTCGGAAAAAATTATCTGGATACTACTTGCAAGAATTATATGCTGTACAAAACAGCAGTCCAGATCATCACTGCAAACTGTAAAAGACACAGTTAATAAAAGAGTATAAAAAGGAATGCATATTTGCTAGAAGATATACAACATTCACAGGAAGGAAGATTTATCTGCACCATTATTTTTTCTTTTCTTGCCAATGAAGCCAGAGAAAGACTGTCACTTATCTGAAAAGCATCTCACTTATTCCAGTTTATGCAACGACTGTTCTTCCTACACTCCACACATCAGCATTACAAAGTTTTGGAAGAGATTTATTCATGGGTAATGATTGTTCATGATAATTGAAATAGGTAAAAAAGTCTTCAATCATTTATTTAGTCCGACTCAAAAGTTACTAATTGGTACGTTATTGTAAATGGGCTGTTTCCTCATCACAAAATGACTGTTGTATTTTATTTGTAACAAGGAGAAAAAAAAAAAAAAGAAAAACACAGAAGGACCTTCTGAGTGTTCACACTGAGAACTCTCTTGTTGGGCAACAGAGTGGAGCAATAAGAGTCCATAAGTACAGACAGACACAAACCCAACAAGAGACCATCTTAACCCAGAAGATGGACCAGGTTCCGGTGAAGAATTTTTCAATCTGAGCACTTTCATAACTGTTAAGAAAAAAAAAAAAAAAGCAGCAATAAACTCACTATTCATATCTCAGACTGCAGCATCCTCTGTTTTACCAAGTGGGTCACAGACCCCAACTAAGTTAACCCAGTCATGAAGAAGGGGAGAATAGCCCTTTACAGAGCAAGATCTTCCTCAAGAATCACCCGTGAAAGACTTTAAATGTCTCTTCCAGCTTATTACTTAAGGAGAGGAGATGCACTAATGGCATTAGTTCCCATTCCCATCTCCCCTTTCAACACTGAGACACATAAGTTTCTCAGCTTTAAAGAAATTCACTTACTGGAACCAATGAGTTACTGTCATCATCACATAGAGTGAAGCCAAGAAGAAAACAAAGTGGAAGTAGGCATAACTGTACACTGTGCCTTTCTTCTCATCATAAATCACAGTCTGGCCTCCCCTTTTTTCAATGTGCTCTTCAGCGTCAGCTGTAAGTGAAAGGAAACAAGAAAGCTTTTGCAAATTTAATGAGAACAGAAAATAGCAGCTGGCTTCACGAAGAACATAGCAAAACATCTATGGTGTTATTGACCAAGGTGTGATATGGAGCAACACTTGAGCATTTCTTTGCCCTCAGGGCATGGGTCTAAGCCTTTATTAAAAGAAACTGAACTGTCACCTAAAGCCTGCCTTGTATCAGCTTCCTGGCCTACTGGCTAGTTTTTGAGAATTTGGGCATTTAAATTGCTCTACCTGTACCTTACTCTTCCAGCAAGTCCAAGCTGAAACCCCTGATTGTAGCAGGTCTGTAGACAGGATGCTCCCTTCCCAACTCACTGCTCAACTGTGCTGAGCCAAAAATCCAGCAGTCAGGCACACCCACAAGCATGCAAAGAGCAGAGATTACTCTTTGTATGTTTCAGCAATGAATGTCCTTTAAGGAATTATTAACTAGCCTGTTGTTTTAAAACAGTATTGTTACATCTTTTGCTTCCTGCAAAAGGAAAAAAGCCTGTTCGTGCACCTGAGTTACTTGAGTTTGATAATGCTACAGAATGAGGATACAAGCAGCTCTGCATCTACAGCTGTGTCCTTACTCTCTTGTCTTTGGTCTGAAAGCCACAAGTGAGGTAAATTGTGAAGTGAAAATGTAATTACCATCTCCATCAGGCACACAGCAAAAGCAGCAACGAGCTACCTGTGGAACAGACAACAAACAGGAAGGGTAAGAGTCTGTGTTTATAGCAAAGAAACTAACAGTTGGTGAAGAAAGATCTGTTATGTCTGCGTTACAGACACTAATTTAGAAAAGTCTGGTTTGTATTTCCAACCAGCACAAAACTCAAATTACAATTTGCCAAGTAGTTCATAACAGCAGTTTCTAAGCTTTGGAAAAACCTACTCAGTAGGATTTGAAGCAAATGAACCATTCTTTAAGAATTACTCTACCCATTTTACATAACTCAAGGTCAAACACTGGTGCAAATAATTATGACAAAATGGTGGAAAAGCCACAGTAAAGTAGTTACACATTGGTAGTTCAGAGGGGACTTACCTGTTCAGACGTATATCTAAGTGCTTTTTAAATTAAAAATTTCTCTACTAAAAGGAAAGTATAAGGAACTTTTAGAACCCTGCTGCACAGGTTGGAAATCACAACTGCCCAAGTGTTAAGTCAGAAATGTACTTATCTTTGCAAGATTTTGCTGAAATGGAGCAACAAGAATGAGTAAAACTAGAAAGCTGGTTTTACTGCTTTATTTAAATGAATAATCTTTTTTAACTGATGGAAAAAGGAAAGCTGAAATTGACACTTCATATGTCGAATAGTAATGTAAATGGGAAAAGGGTGCTGACTATCCAATAAGTGCATTTTCTGCAGCAGACCACAGTAAAAGCCAGCACTTTCTGTGGTGCATCACCAACATTTATTTGTTCTGATAAAATTCTACTCTGGGATTTATTTTGGTTGTGGTCTGATGAAGGAAATGAAACCTGTTAGGAAAATTCCCTTCCCTAACTATTGTATAAATCAGTCTTTATAGTATTAAAGTGTATAAACTTTCTTAACATATATTAATTTCACAGTATATACTGCAATGTAATGAGGTTAGTGGAGTCTTAGTGGAGAGCCTGGCCGTGGAAATAAAGGCTTTGCTTCTTGGAAATTTAGAGCTGTCCGTGATGGATAAAAGATACCTCTGGATAACCAAGATAATGCCATCCCTCCCAGCATCAGAGTTAAGTAACTATCACAAGACTGACTCCAGGGACGTCTGGATCAACAGACAAGCAACAAGAATGCTGCAGAAATACAGTTGCTTTGCAAAGCTTTACTATGACTAGTAATTGGTGGTGTGGGTGTTAGTGATTAGTCAAGTCATGCTATACCTGAATGCTTGAAGGGTATAAGGACCCTGTGCAAAACCACATTCAGAGTGCCCAAATTTGGCTGTGACACCTCATGCACATGCATAAATACTTACCCTTGTAATTCTATACTTTGCATTCTAGCCTCTCTCCTTCCTTGGCACAGGACAGCTGCAAGTTTTCCTAATGTTCCCAAAAATCAGATACTAAGGTATCTGATTTACCTCTAAGGTAAAGTGCCCAACAGAAACATCAAATGGCAGTTTTAACCCTGCATGTCCACCATGATTACATGTACTCACTGGGTTCAAAAACTCCTCAAAAGCCAAAAAGATCATTCTTTTTTAAGAGACTAGCTGAGAGTTTAAATCAAATCCTTATTCCATATCTCTTTCTGCCGCTGTGCTAAGCCTCACCTACAGGGCAACCTGAGGTCCTCTTGGGCCACACACTCACATTCTGTGGCCAGTGCTGGGTTGCCTCAAACTTTTTAATCAGTTGCAATTAAGGCCTTGCACACACAGAGCAATGAAATTAGCAATGCTGGCACACACACTGCTAGGGCCTCATAATGGTCAGCTGTCGTCAGCACAGACATTGACAGACCCTCTGTACAACCCAACCAACTGTGGAGCTACATTCACACTCCTGGACAGGAGACAAAGGCCCTTTGCCACATGGAAGGCAATCAAGAGTGCAATTAGTTGCTCTTCACCATTCATTTCTTTATATTTATTTTCAGTGGTTCTTGTACCACTCTTTAAAGCACAACAGTCCAGAAGTAATCCTACTGGTGAGAGGAGTGTGGCAGAGGAGTCAGACCTTCCTGGTGAGGGGACGACAACCAGCATCCATGCTGTGCCAGCTGCCTCCAACCTGCCCACTACTCCTGACACAGGGCACACCGCAGTCCCCAGCCCTTGGATAAGAGCTCCGATGGCATAATGCTGGCAGAGGAAGGTGGGTGAGCGCGCAGGGTGGCTTGTTTACCTCCAGTCCCCACACCTCAGCACAGGGCAGGAAGGCACTAGATGCTTAATGTTGAGCCTGCTCGCAGGCTGCCCACCTGCAGGGGCTGGGGCCAGTACGAGGAGCCACCGGGTGCTTAGCTCCTTAGTGCTGGACCCAGTGCCCTGTCCAGTCACGCTGTCCTGCCAGAGGGAAGCTCCTCCAGCACTGACAGACTCCCACAGTGAAACAAGTTTTGCTTACCCACACCCAGCTATTGCAACCATCAAGTGCCTCAGCCAGTACTTCTGCATTTTTGTATTCTCACAAACACTCCAATTAAAGACTTTTTAAAGACAACAGAAATTAAAACTGCAGATGCAAGTAACACCAAGACAGAGCGAGCTAGGGATGGAGGTTCATCCTCCAAACACATACATACATTTGAAAAGTGACACTAGCAAGCCTAAGTAAGGGGTAGCTGTTACTTAGTGTGAGATATGTTTGTCTGATTTGTGCCCACATGAGTGATAAAATGCAACTCTCTTAAGTATGGAACCCTTAAATGCTTTTGTACTTTTTTATGTAGCCACAGGTTTAAGGGAAATAAGGTGTCATGTACATAATTCTTGTTGTTTAGACCAGTTGCTCCTGTTAAAGAAAGGAGCAAAGATGGCCTCCGTCACCAAACCAGACAGCAGTATGTTTGGACTATGTTGTGATCAGCCTGTGTTATGACTGCGAAAACACCTGTGCTGAGTCATTCTCTCCTCCATGACGGAAACCTCAGGAAAGCCCGGGAAACTTTACTAAAAGCCCAGGAAACTTTACTTATGACCATCCTCATGAATATGTAAAAGGACTACGCTATAAAAAAACTCGGTTGTGTTATGTGTGTGTTTGTCTTGGTGGAGCAGAGACTCCTGGCACACCCAGGAGAGACATAGCACTGTTTGCTTGTCTCTATTCAAAAATAAATTTGGAATTCGGTTTGAAATCTTGGTGAGTCTAAATTTATTTATAACATTTAGCAAAAACCCACTAATTTCCCAGTGTTTCTGGCTGCTCCCAAAATAAGAAGGCCAAAAAAATAGGCAGGTGGAATGAAGAAACCCATACTGTTATCTGAAAAGCTGATTCCTGCCTGACATGCAATAAACCAATCTTAACACACTCAGAAGAGAGCCTGTATTTACTCAGGCCTGGGTGCTTCATGGACTTTTCCCATATCAAGCATATCAACAGCAGATTTTCATGCTTCTTTGTAAACAAAAATCAGAGGGCAGTACTTTTCCAAATGTGCCTATTAGATTCTGATTGGTTAGTGATTAACCTACAATTATAATATGGCTTACATAATGCTTCTACTATTATGCACACTCAGGGGAAGGGTCTTAACCCGGGCAGGGGTCTTTTTAACCTGTGGGGGTGTTTTTTAGTATTATAATGAAGGTAGTTCACTTTCAGGACACTCAAAAGTTAGTTTCATTGCCAAGTTAATTGATGGAATAGTCACTTTGCCAGGTTGTCAAATAATGCATCCTCAAGACAATCCCAGACATTCTCTTTATGGTCCAGGGTGTTCTACTTATTTTTTAGGGTTTGGAGATCAAAGTCTATCCTTTATAAATTTATTGCTAATCAAGGTCATCTTGACCACACTTCAAAGTCTCAGATGACCAAGCTTCAGAACCTTGTAATTGTTGCCATATGTGCAGTAACTATAGCTACTACCACAATTATTAACCATGGCTACTAGCAAATGTGAAGTATACTGTATCAGTACTGCTGAAACTGGGACAAGAAATATAATCCAAGATTAAATTATAGGCAAAAAGAAAGGAAGTACTTATGTGTGGAAATAAGAGATAGGAACTTGGGATTGTAGTCAGTTGCTATGAGAACAAAGGCAACCAGGACTGAACACCTCCACGTTTTCTGATAGCTTCCCAGCAGACTTTAAACGAAAAGGACACGAGCTGCTGCGGAGCACAAGATTTATAGGGAGTCTGCAGGGTGTTAACTGCAAGAGCAGCAAACTTTCAGTACATAAAGGCACCTCCACCAGAGCAGCAAGAGCTGCAGAAGGGCCAATGTGAACAAGTCTTCTAACGAGTCCATACCCAGAGGCACATAGTGCTACAATCAAGCTTTTGTTTTCACCTAATTACAGATTACTTAGCCATGAAAACAACTGCAAGAGAAGCACAAGAGGAAGTCTGCACAGAAATCCTGTGGGAGGAAGCAAGAACTCACTTCAGTTTCGGGTGTTGCATATATTCCCCTCAATGCCTCTGAACTTGCACGTGTTGTTGAGGTCAAACTAGGAGCAAAAGAAAATAGTGTCAGAACCCTCAGGCCTATGTATAAACACAATAGGGTAATTTTCCAACACTGCAGCAAACATAAATTGTCTACTCCCACATCTAAGCTAAGCATTTGCCTGGATATAGCATCAAGCACTAAGCATGTGAAAAGTTTGTTCTGCACAAGTATAAACCAGCCTGACAGCCACTGGCCAACTCAGTCTGAATCATGCGTTTAAAAGTAGGTCACTCCTGAAAGGTGGTGAATTCATCACCATCAGACAGCAGCAAACAGCTAAACCCTCCAATTTGCAATTCAGAAGAGATCTCCCCCGCCCTGCAGAACAAATACTGCTATATTAACTTCACAGCCATCACTTTGGCTCAGTATTTCTGTGAAGGCTTTGCCAGTGAAGTAACAGGCCACTGGCAGCAGTTAGTTTTCAAAAGTAAACTACCAACTACTATCATCAGTGTAGCAGTTGTTGGAAATCACTTTCTTGCATGACTCTAGTCATCTAGGGGGCATCATTTCTAGTTTCTTCTGATTAGAAACATTTCTTGTCCAGTCTTTCCCTTTCAAGATGTGTAATGCAAACTTCCTGTTATCCAAATGGAGACACGTTAATGCTTTGCTGTACACACCGAGCCTTCAGTAAGCAGTACTTCAAAACATGCCTCTTAAAGGCCGCCTTATCCACAGCTACATGGCGCACTTCCCCCGCAGGCTACATGAACATTGCCTGCATTCCTGAAACACCTTCCCGAGGCACTGGAAATACTGTTCTAATGGGAACTAGATATAAGATATCCATATATTTTGTATAAGAATTGAATGGAAAACATCTGCATATTTGATAGAAAAAGAGTAGCTGTGCTACCTCTTGAGAAAATCTCTTGTTTTCACTTCAGAACTATGAAGTTTGAGAATGTGAATTTTAAAGTGGACTGATTCAGAAGCACAACCTGCCCAAAAACCTGCAGCAGACAGGCAGAGCTGTCTCCTGGCAACCTGCATAGCAAAAATAAATGACACATCACCTTTCACTCATCAGCAGCTCCCTCCTATCCCCATAAATTAAGCATGACTTAATTTATTGATGTGAACTGCAATAATACAAGGTGAGAATCACAACTATATGGGCATAAACAGATTCTTTTTAAAGCAGGAGACTGCTGACAATTGCTGATGGCATTACTGTGCTCATCTCTTGTTCAAAGGAAGCCCTAAACCCTCACAGTTTTATTTGTTTTAAAGACACTCAAGGAACAGTCATAGCCTCTGCCAGGAAACTACAGAAATTTCAGATAGCTTTTTTACAAGGACATAACTGCACAGACTTTTTCTTACAGAAAGAGTAAACACAGAATCAAAGCACCCTGAGACTTTTTGGGATCATGGACAGCTCGGAATTTTTTCCCTCCGTCTCTAGATGTAAATTGCTCTATTTGGTTTTAATGAAATATATTTCCTTCAGATATTACTTGTTGAACATTTTTGGCTAAAACATCTACCCATTCTCAAACTGTTGAGAATGTGAACCTTCCAGCTCAGTTCTGTTCTACTCCTTCCTTTGTCTGCATGAGGCCTGCTATAAGCCTTTACTAGTTGGACCACAACATTGTATTTACAGTGAGGTAACTGCAAACTCCCAGACTTACCAAGAATATAAAATGCAGCCAAACAAAATGGTGGTACCCAGGCCAGTAACCAAGTTTTCATCTCTGTGCAGGCCTTGACTAAATTCAGGTACACAGATTGTGATGTTCTGATTGCTTTCATCCAGGACTTCAAAAAACAGAGCAAACAAAAAGAACAGTTAGCAAAGCTCATTTCACTGCATTTCAAAGTAGTCTTCAGACTGAAGGTTTTCAGTGAAGTATTTTTATTACTTCAGACACAGGGTAGGTACGTTTCAGTTGTTTCTATCTATCTTTTAAAAATTCTGTAAATCTTACCTGGCAGATTCTGTGTTTTGGGCAAAACAAAAATGTAACTCAGTGAAGTACTAAAATTTCTCGTTTGACCAGAGCAGACAGACAAGGAAAAAAGACTGCTTGGTGAACTAAGAAATAAGTTGGAAGTTTATCAACACTTCACCCAACTCTACAAAGCCATGTAAGAACAAGATAGTACAGACACGAGGCCATAAATTTCTTTGACAGTAGCGGTGCCTTGAGGATAACTATGAAATTCATACTCAGTGAAAAAGGTGGTGTGTAGTTGCCCTGTGCTCAGACTGATATATAGAAGGCCAAAGAAAAGGAGATGCACCAGTTATAGGCAAGATTTTATCTTAACATCTAAGCAAATACTACTTCCAGGTCCCTGAAATGAAACCAGTTCAGTCCTTGATGTTCCAAAATGCATCTAGGTTTTTGGTGTCTGCTTGGAGGCAAGGCAAGGCAAGGCAAGGTAGACTAGTAGCCTACAGCATCACTCCAAAGCAAGAGATTACAGCTGCACTTTATCTCAAACCAAGAGTTTTTTGAGCCAATGTTGTTTAAGGCAAAGTGTGTTCCCATCTCTTTCCTTCCAGCAGCCACACTGCATCCCCACTGGGACAGCACAACTGTTTATAGGGGCAGAGGGGAAAATACAGCAAAGGCTACATCCAGGTTAAAAATAAACTCAAAGCCTGATCTGGTGGAAGAAGACTGCATTGCCCTGCAGGGCTGAACAAACAGCTCTATCAGCACACAGCAAGGACAGAGCTGAGGCAGGGGCAAAAGAAGGGATGACAAGCCTTTATGGAACACCTTGGCCAGAGATGTGCAGAATGCCCCACCTGCATCTGTCAGGGATGCCTCTGCTGCAAGGTAGGTGCACTGTTTGGCAAGCCTTTTAGCTAGTTCTGGCACTAAAAAGCTAAAAAGCTAATGCACACTGTGATAAGCACAGGTTCAGCAGACATTACATTTTGTTTGCCCATTCCTTTAAAGGACATTGGCAACTCCTATTTTTGGGTGTTGCAAATAAATACTTATAGCTTGCATTTTCTTCAGGCCTCGTTTGTCTATTTGCAAGATGACCAATTTGGAAGTCTCTCCTTGAGGAATGAGTCAACATTAGGTAAGTTAATGGCAAATCTGAGTGATAGGGCATGGGACACCTTAATAAGTGCCAGCACCCCATACATTCTCCAGCATATGCCACTGTAAAAGCTGCACAGCCAGTATGAGAGTTCTTGTCACACAGATGGGAGAAAGGAGCATCTATCAGAGCAGATGACAACCATGAGGGTTCTCTGGCCTGGGAAGACAATGAGGAACATCTGAATCAGGAAGTCTGAGAGAGCATGCTTGAAGCATACTCTGACAAATGCAATAACCACACTTGCAATACATACAAGAAGCATCAGAGCATTCACTTAACTGCTGAAGGCTTTGACTGTCACAAGCATGAAATAACATGAGGCTACACTGTGTCAATTCTTAGGAGTAATTCAGATGCTTTTGGAATTAACTTCTACATTCCTTCAAAAACACTGCTTAAACTCCATAAGTAAATCTTCCACCTAAATACTGTCTCCCTTTCCTTCTTAGCTCTAGAACACATTTGTATGTGTGCCTGTGCCTACACAAGTGTGACAGAAATAGATTCTTTCCCCCATCTCTCCCTCTTCTTCTTGGGAGGTCTCTGTAAAAACTTCTTCCTGCCAACAGACTTCTTTTCCTCTAGTTATTGTTGTTTCAACTATTCAACAATAGAAGTTGAGCAATAATAAAAGAAGGGGGTTTTAGCCTTACTAATCTGAACTAAAAAAGTCTTTAAGCAAAAATAACGCTCCCTGTCCAAAAAGGTGAATCTGATGGTTCCCTGGGTAAAGAAAACAGTGACTTATGCTTGTAAAGTCTCGATGCGTTTTTGTAGCATTGAGAACTTAAAACTCTAGGGAGTTCCCTACTCCTGGCTTGCTAGGCGAGTGATTAGAAGGCAAGTGGAGTACAGGAACTCTGCTGAAGAACAGCATCATCTCAAACAACTGCAACATAACTCCAAGTCTCTTCTCAGAATGTTTCCTCTCAAAACAAAAACCAAGTTCTACTCAAGTTTTTGCGCTGTTAGGAGTCCAGAGCTAAGGCTATCTAGCATTAGATAGAACCAATTCTAGGAGAAAATAAGTGATTTTAGTATCTGGTCTGATGGCCAGCACCTAACTGCTGGTGGACCCAGTAAACGTTTGGATGGAGCTGATCACTCAGCATCTTCCAGAGGCAGCCAAGAGCCATTTGTTTCAACTCCTTTCCCATCATGCGACCAAACACATTATGTATTTAGTCATGCCCTATCGTACAAGAACATGCACTGCCCACATGAGGAATAGGCTACAAGACTCTGGGAGATCTGCCCATAGGAAACAGGCTGGAATTGCTCTGGTGCAACAGATACAACTCACCCAAGGTAAGTTAAGATCCCCTAGACCAAAGTATTTAAGGTACATGGAGAGTGCCAACTGCACAGTATCTGTGCTGTACAGAGTTATTCTTAGTATTTGTGATTTCTTCTGCATAGGCCAGAACAGACCAAACCTATATCCCTGAACTTAATTCAGGTTTACTAAACACTTGCTTCTAATACATGATGTATCTAAAAGAATTTATATAAAGCATTAGATAACTTACTGGTTTCTGGTGGCTTGCTGGATAGTGCTGAGAAAGTGAGGTACATGACATAGCAGCTGATAACTCCTGACTGCAGCAAACCAGAATGGGGCTGGCCTTTACAAGAAAGAGGAAAATAAGTGATTTTTGTGACATTTTAACAAACTGAAAAAGAAATTCATTTAAAGAAGAGCACACTACTGTACTTCCGAAGAGTATCTTTTATGTTTTACTTAAAGTAGTTCATAAGTCTTTCAGGCAGTTTAGATACATTTCCACTGGCACGTAAAGAGAAAAGAGTCTGCCCTTTAGTTCTGCTGGCTGTTTTAGAAAGGCATTAAAGATTCCCACGTAAGTAAACAATCACCCCCTTTGCTCTCGTCAAAAGCACCAGCTTTTCAAAAGTTATTTTCAAGCTGCCATAATAGTTTTATTTGTCTGTAAAATTTGTGGAGTCACTCAAAATACTATTTCCAGGTATAATGTATGCAAGATACTAACAGCACACATAAAATATACTGAAGCATGAAATAGTGCTGTCAACTCCTTCAGGCCCAAACTTTACAGATGCTAAATCACAAGAAGTCAAAAGTAAATGGTAAATCAGTGGTGAATGAGTTTGACAGCTATTACCTCAACTGCTACCACTGCAAGAGTTGTGTAAGGTCCACAACACATTACCAGCCATCAGTACATGGTTGTTCTTTACAGTACTACTGCCTGATGGCACACACAAAATGTCTAGTTTCAGAAGCTGAGCTGATGACCAGCAACAGCACTTTACAGTGTAGATAAAGGGGCAGGGGCAAGAGCAGTACCAGCTCTGACTACGATGAGACTTTCTGCCCAGAACACGGCTCATGTCTCCAGGCACACAACTGTGGAAGCACTAGAAACCCAGGAGAAGAGAGGTCAGCAGACTCACGATTCTGGACACAAGGTGATATGGCCACCAGTGAGACAAAGAGGCACAGACCACCGTTAACACCAATCAGGACCTTGTTGTACACGCAGCCCTCAGAGCGCGTGTAGAAAAGAGCCATGAGGACCAGGGCTGCCACCGCAACGGAGTACAAGATGAGAGTGACCAGGGCAAGCAAACCATTCCACATCTGCTTGTGGTTTGCACTCGCAGTCCTGGGGAGAAGAGACAAGCACCTTATCTTTGTCTTCCCTTCCCCAAAAAATAATATTCTAATACCTGAATAGTTCATATCCTCAAAAACAAAACGCAGTGCTTACTTTTCTTGAAATGTATGTCACTACACCAACATAGGCCCTTGCAAGGTTCCTCCCACAAAACAGAAGAAGACATTCCTTAGCATTAGTATTTATCTTCTGTATTATCATGCCCAGCTGTTTCTGTAATTACAGCCTAGCATGACTCCTAGAACTTACAATCTCAAGGATCTGCCTGTCAGCGCATCTCAGCTCAATACTTCAGGGATTTCCTCAGCGGGACCTCGGAATGCCCCAGGTTCAGCTAGCAAGCCATGCTCTTCACACAAGTACAGCAAAGGCATATTGCTTGACATGGCCTCTCTTCTGACCTTTGCACTAACTTTACAGTTTTACTACCCTTTTGCTCAAAAAGCCGCCTCTCCATTTGGGTCTATACCACCAGTCTCCCCCAGCTAAAGCATGGTTCATCTTGTTTTCCTCTCTTCACCTTCCAAACTGTTTTAGGAGGAGCAACTAAAAATGTTGTTTTGGCACAAAGGGCTTTTTGGTGCATGGAAGGGTTTTTTTGGGTGTGGCAGTTTTTTTGTTGTTTTCTGGAAACATGACTTATTTTAAAAGAATATCTAACGTAGAGAGTGCTAAAGTTAAATGCTGCTGCTAGAAATCTTTAATCCTCAGAAAAGCAGCTACAGTAATCAGTAGTAAAAATATCTGTGGTGTAAGGAGATCTCACCTCTTCCTCCTTGAAAACAGGTATGTAACAAAGCCCAAAGGTTTCCTAAAACTGTTTCTTAGCAGTCAGTATGCTAACAAGACCAAGAGAGGACTGCAAAGGTTTGTAGAGGAAGAAATGAGACAGAAAGGGTGGAGGTAGGAGTTCCTGTGTATATGTGGGAGGACAACTTAAATATCTTAAATTATTTAACAAGAGGCTAAGGGCTATGAAGGTAATAGCAAATATGCTTAAACCAGAAATTTAAGTCAATGCCAGAATGGTGCATATGTGGGTTGATAATGGAATCATGCATATTTAGATGAAAGCAGAGAAGTTGAAGAAAAAGTAGCAGTTCTCATGTCAAGAAAAAAAAAAAAGTGTGTTAAGCTGACACATAAAAGCAGGATTTATCAGTTTACATCACCGCACACAGTTTAACTGTTACATTTTGCAAATCCAGTCTTATTCTCTTGCACCATCCTTGTTTCTTAGCAGGTATATTTTCATATAAAATATAAACCAACTTAATGTAAAAGGTTTTTGCATCCCATTTTGCTTATTGAAAGCCAATTAATTCAGGTTAAGAATAAATCAGCAGAGTATACGTGAATAAGGAGGAAACACCTCTGCTGAGGAAGGAGAAAATGAATGACGCAAAGATAAAACAGCTCTAAATACTGTCATTAAAGTGTCTTCTTTAGAAATTACATCCATGCTACTCTTAAATTCTTTGTCAGGAGAACTCTATTGTTTGGCAGTCCACCAGAATTTTATGCAAATAGCTAGTTGCCCAACACATACCAATTTTTATTCCACTTGTGTGTGAACTCAATAAGCAGGATGAGCTGAATGGCAATGAAAAGGAAACCTCCTGTTGCTCCCACATAGCGCCAGGCTGCAAGGCAGAGAGGCAGAAAATAGGTCAAACTGAAGTCATCTTTCCCTTGAGATAAAATGGAATTATTGTCTATGCAGTGAAGCTGTTACATGGTTTGAATATCTCAAAGTCCACAGATGTAGCAGGAGATGAGAGATTTCAGCTGAAAGGACAACTCACCTAACTTAAAATTAGCTCCCTGGTGAATTCAGCTTGCAACCTGTACACTTTAAAAATAAGACTGTTAGGACATCTACTGAGTTTCCCTAACCTAGAGAATTTTTGTGGACATGGTAAGTTACTATATTCGGACAGAAAATACTGAAACCTTTATTTGTGGCTGGTGGGAGGGAGGTGGTGTGAAGGCATTTTACAGGAATCTAAACCCTGAAATTGCAAGGTACTGGAGCCCAGTACTAAAAAGGGAAATTTCTTCACTTCAAGATTCCTGTACCACATAAAAACAAAGGTGGAGCTTATCTATTTACAAATGCTGTCCTGAGCCACTCCCAAAGAGAGAGGAATACTTGGTATTCACTGACTAGTTCTAAGACAGGCCATTTGACTACTTAACCATTGACCTACATATACTGTAACTGGGTAGCTGTTTGGATACTTCAGACAACAGATCTTTTATGTGCAACATCAGAAGTCTGTAAGGAAATACAGATACCTATTTAAAAGTTTAGTTGCATATAAAGCAGGTGCTGCTGTGCAATGCATAGCCTATAAATGACTACAGGTGTGCAGAGGATTTCAGTAAAGGCGACCAAGGAAGTGCATTAGCAAATTTCAGCCATATCCTACCATTGTATTTTTGTTTTGAAAAAAACTTGTATAAGCAAAGTGGAAGAACAGATCAGTGTATGTTACCCTTAGCAAATGATGTAGAGATTAATTTTTTTTTTTTTTAATACTGTACCATAAGCTCCTTTTTTGGAAGCATGAAAAAATGCCTTTTGTCTGGTTTGGCTAAATGTATTGTATGTACTTGATAAGCATGCTGTTCTTCAAAAAAAGAAATCAAAAACTGGAAGAAGCTAGAATGTAAAAAAAAATAGGCAAGGAACAAGGTGTACATATATGTTTGGGAGAGGTAGAACAGGAAAAAGCAGACCACGAATGGAGTGAGTAATTAAACAGCCAGATTCTCAGGATCTCCCACAGCCACAGGCAGGACACTGCTGGATGTTTTATGGATCCATCACAGATAAGGTTAGCACGGCCAATGTGGATTTACCACTATAGCCCACACAAACCTAGTGCTTGCATGTAGTACTCCTCCTCCATGATTAAGAAACTGCTAAGTATGGGAAGCTTGACAAGACCTTTTTTTTTTTTTTTTTTAAAAGAAAAAATAAGCAAACAGAGATTGCTCAAAAAAAACCCCCAAACCACCAAACCCAAACACCCTTCTTGATGGGAGGGGAAAAAAAAGGAAAATAAAACCACACGATACCCAAATTATCTGTATATCTCAAATTCAGGGGATGACTGGAGGACAGTTTAGCAAGATATGCAGAATACTGCTTTATAGAGAAAAGTCAAGGCCTAATTTGGGGAAGAAAGCTTCTTACACTGTATCTCCACACTAGGTTAGAGTGCTGTTGGCAGACAGCACTCTCATCAGCACAAAAAGTTCTGTTTTCCCTTTTCCCCAGACATCTCAATTCTTAATTATTTTTCACCATGAAAAGGGTCACTTGCAAAGATGACAGTCTGAATATGAATACAATGGATTGCACTGCTACACCTTTCTAATCCAAACAGTGATTAGATACTAAGGACAAGAACATAGACATTCTATGACTTCACAGAGAGGAGGAATAGGGATAAGGAGCCCTTCACTTCTGGGGCATCAAACTGACCCAGGATCAAACAGCTAGCAAGAGCATGAAGCCGAATTACACCTGTCAGTGTTGGGTTTTTTTTTACACCTGAAGTGGTTTTAATTTAGTTTCCCAGAGCACTGTGTTCACAGTATGTCTGCCCACTCTATTCTCTTCCTCCATGTTACTCCTTCCACTTCCCTTTTTAAACATCTAGCTAGAGGAGATTGGTGTTTAAAACACAGGTAACCAAGCAAGTCTTAGTGGAAGCAGGCAGCACACACAACCTCTCCTTTGCATTACTGATGCCACCCCTTTCTACCTGCCCAGACTCAACAGCTTAAGGGCCTACAAGTACCTGGCAAACTGAAGAGCATGAACTCATCTCAGTATCACTGGGATTTTTGCTCCTAGCCCACAAAAGGCTGGAGAGAAGCCTCCTCCCAGAGCTAGCATTTAAGTACTGGGCCAGTACCAGTGTGCCTGTGTGGTGCTAGGGCATCTTTTAAAACTGGAAATGCTTCAGGCATGGCATCCTCAGCAGAGCACTTGTAACACACACCAAGAGGTCTAATTTTACCTTACTGTATTTATGCCACCAACCTGAAAGCTAACAGCATCCCAAATTCTTTTGTGGCATTGCAGGTTTCCAGGCAGCAAACACCTGGCAGGTCACTGTGACCCCCTGAGCACTGGCACCTCTCCACCGTGCAGCACTGACCCTGACTGCTGCACTGCAGCACAGCTACCTGCACAAGCCAAACTAGCATGTGGCGCTGCATTCTTGAGTGAGCAAGTTCTTGTGCACCATTACAGCTCCCTACTTCTTAAAGAATTTGCAAGACAGCACCACAGTGGCATTTTTACCCACCATTTGGCCTGTTCTTGGTCAGAAAACCCACACTCTTTACTGCTCATTCATATGAAGACCAAATACTCTGTGCACACAGAGTTCCCTCCAGACAGTTCCAAATACTCCTTTTGCACCTGGACCATATCAGCTTTACTTGAGGAAATAAGGCAATATTCATGTTGATTGGACCTTTTAGGATTTATAACCATGCACGAGGTAGTACAGAACAAAGCAGCGTAACAAAACAAGGACATACCATTGAGGAAAGTGTCCTGATCGGGAATGAAGAAGGCTCCTGAGCACATTGCTGCCAGAAGTATAAGTTTAACCAGCCAGAATCTGCATGAGAGGGAGGGAAAAAAAAATCTGGTTGTAATAGGAATTAGAGGTCTTCAACTCAAGTACCATGAGAAATCTATTTAAAGCCCAACAAGAGAAAAAACCCAGCTCTTGATAACTGATTGATGCGTTAGTTTTCACTTGACTGCATTATTTCTGACAAAAGCAGTAAAATCAACTTTTGTTTTGTTTTTTTTTTTCCCTAGTACTACACCCAACTGGAAAGTAGGCAGCACAAACCTGTAAAAAGAAGTGGAAATTAAGCAGTCAAATACTTACCCATTATGAATGTATGCTCGGCAGCTTTTGCTGCTGTTAATTTTGATGGTGAACAAGAAGAACAAAAAGAAGAAACAGGACATTCCAAAACAGACTTTGTACACTGCAGAGTATCCCACCAACTTCTCGCACATCTCACCCGCCTGAATACCCTTGCACATCTGCTCATAGAAGGGAATCTGAAAAGCACAACACAAGATGTTAGATAGGACACAGGGTTCCTCGTAACCAAGCATGTCTATGATATACAACACTGAATTTTCACCAGCTTCATTTAACACCTTTCACTCTTGATACACTTCAGCCTGGATTTAAGGGTTCAAGAGATATAAAGAAATGTAAAACACATGGGACCAGAGTTTTCCAGAGCCTCCATTCTCAACTCCTTCCAGACACTTTGGGGCATAAGTTCACCTGACTTTACTTCAACTCTGTTGGCTTAAGCCAATCTACCTGCTGTGGTTTGTGCCCAGAGGGCAACCAAACACCACACAGCCATTCAATCACCCCTTTTCCCCCCCAGTACTGGGAAGAAGAAAAAAATGAATCAAAAGGCTTAGGAATTGAGATATGGACAGGGAAGGGTCAGAGGCAAAAGACAGGTGTCTTAGAGGAAGAAAAAGAACATCACACTATTTCAAAACACTAACAACGACGCTTAACAAAGAGAATGGGATGGTGATAAGTGTTACCATATCTTAAAAACACCTCCCCTCACCACTCCTTCCTTCCTGGGCTCAATTTTCTTCCCCGATATCTCTACCCCCTTCCTCAGCAATGCAAGGGCAGGGGATGGGAGATGGAGTCAGTCCATCACTTCTTCCTCCAAGCCAGGGGAAGCACTCTTCTGAATTCCTCCCCCTGATCTCCGTGTCCCTCTCACAGGAGACAATCCTCCACAAACTCTCTCCACTGTGAGCCCTCCCCAAGGGATGCATTCTTCTTGATATGCTCCAGCATGGGTCACCTCCACATGTTGCAACCCCTCAGCGCTGAACTGCAACAATGGGGGCTGCTTCTTCCCACAGAGTCCCGGGGTCCTCCACAGGCCACAGGTGAATCTCTGCTCCTCCAGTGACCTCCATGGGTGGCAGGAAGCATGGCCCTGCCCTCTCACCATGGGATACAGGGTGGGTTTTTGCCCTGGCACACACCCCCACACCCCCCCCATCCTTCCTTCCACTGACCTCAGTGTTCACACTGGTGTCCTCCTTGTAACTTGTCCTCAAAGTCCCCCAACCCCATCACAGTTTCCCTTCTTAAATACGTTATCACAGAGGCACAACCACCATCGCTAATTGGCCAGAGATGGGTATGACTTGGAGCTGGGGGAGGCTTTTGAGAAACTTCTCACAGGGGGCCACCGCTGTAGCCCCCTCCCTGCTACCACAGACCCTGTCACACAAACCAAGCACACTGTCCCTTACTGCTTATCCCTTCATCCTGGGGACCCTGTTCCTTCTTCCCATGCTTTACAGCAAAAGACTTGGGTTGCTTCAGTAATCCAGCTTGCATAAACCATACTGGGCAGTTTTACCAGTCGAAGGGTCACGAATGGGGCTGCAGGGCAGCAAGCTCTGGTGCCTTCTGCCCTCAGTGGAAAAAGACCAAAGCACAACCAGGTGGCACAGAGGCAGCAATCCCCATCCTCTCTATCACAACTTCTGAAACAGAGTCATGCCAGTTGCCCTGATCTTGTTTTAAATTAACAGAGAGGCAGGAAAATTCCACTTTTCCCTTGATACATTAAATATTTGCCTTTGAGGCCTTGCTCTCACCATGAGGGGAAAGCAAACAGCTGCATATTTTGGCTTCAGTTTCACCAGGCAGACGTGATACTGGGTGCTCAAAAAAAAGCTGGTCTGTGTGGCCAGTACCCACTCCTGTGGGGCACAGATATCCCCTCCTGCAGCCAGGGAGCCATTCAGCTGTGCAGAAATATAGGCATTTAATTAGAAAACCGCGGTTCATTTCAAAGAAAGAAGGGCCTCTCTGTATGCTCACAGCCCTCAGCTGAGTCTGGTAAGACCAGTCGAGCAACACATCACACCCTGTGGAGCTGATCACTGCTACCTGCACAGGTTAACTGGAGGAGAGAGGAGACAAATGTGTGCCAGAACACAACATGCACAAATAACTACCTTGAATCAAACTTCAGAAAGCATTCAGCCAGGACAGATTTTGCTTCGAAAAAACATGCAAAGATTGTAGGCAACATCATCCTTGAATATTTCCAAGAAATTAGCAGAGACAAGAGTGTCTCCTTCCTTCAGCAGGCAGGTCAGTACACAAAACCAGGCCAGGGAAAGAACAAACAGAGTACAAGAGCAAGGAATCAGGGAGTGTTCCCAGCTGGCTAGAAAGCCATCAGAGATATAGGAAACAAGAGATAAACTCATGAACTGGCAGCTTCCAGTCACCAGGCTGTGAAAGCCGGCTTCCCTCAGCAGGTTATGCAACTTCCTATCCCGTGCCAGCAATTCAAGTCAGGAGCTCAACAACCCCCCTAGCAGTTTGCCAGAAAGAGGAAATATTTTAGCAGCTCACAGCAACACTGAATTGCTGTGCTGCAGGTAGCAAACCTAACTACAGTACTGGGTTGATCCCAGATAGGCTAGAACTAGCAGAGAAGATGAAAACCAGGTCTCAGTGCAGATGTGTGGTGTTCCAAGAATGGATGCAAGCTCAGCCACTATGAGGTGCTCTTTCAGAGGTAACTCACAGATGAGTAGCCACTGCATAAGAAGCTGGACAGTAAACAAGTAGCTGTAGCTAACTCACATTTAGGAGGTTTTAGAGAGCTCATCAGAAATTGTCTGGAGCATCAGTGATGTCCTTCCTACATCTTGGAAGGCAACAAAATGTCAGACTGAGCATGAGTGCCAGCATTCAAAATAATCAAACAGATTAACTGGAATAGTTAAGAGACCTATCAACACCACAGTGATGCCACTGCAAGTCAAGGGGCCACAGCAGTGTCAGGGAAAGCAACTGGGATATCAATTAATACTTCCCAATTCTTTGCTTATAATAATCATCAGCTAGCAGAGGTTAAAAAGATGGATAATACTGAACTAACAATATCTCTGAGAAAATTAGATATTTGTTTGATATAGATGATAGTACTGACCAATGAGACAGATTTCTGTAGATCTGTACTCGTACTAAGCAGCATTTTGCTTATGAGACTCATAGAACAGAAGAAATCATGTAACTTGATTAATCAACTAGCTAATTAAAAATCAATCTCTGGGTAACTGTAAATGGACATCTTTAATTGCACAGGTTTCGACAGAGATCTTGATGGTATTTTTGACTCTGTATGTTCTTTTCTCCACTTGGTAGTAATTTCCTTACAGATCTGGCTGAGAGAAAATGGATGGGTTCACAGGAACAATAGCTCAGTTTGTGCCTACATAAGCAACAAAGAGCTCAGCCATCAAACAGTATGCACAACACTGCAGAAATAAGTGGTTGCCACAGGAATAGTCCCGTGGAATTGAACACCATTTGTGGAGACCTGTGATCCTGAAGGAACAAAACAAGTACAAAGCAAAGTCTTGAGGACCCTGGCAGACAATAAACATGAGCACAATACTGGGGACAAAAGAGCTGATGTCATGAAAAGGACATGTTTTCATGAAAGGGTGGTCTGCTGCTGCACTTATGTGACTTCACTGATTTTTTATCTTTTTAAAAAAAAATTCTGTATCTCTGAAACACGTTCAGCTGCTAAGCAGCCTGCCCAGCCTATGTAATTACCAGGCTTTCTACTTGCTGGGTAGTTTTGCCAGCTGTTAAAGTCACAAATTAGTTATTTGCCAAGTTTGATACAGTGAAATATCTACTTTTATAATCTTAAAAGCAACATAAGCTAATTTTTTTGGCCTCTGAGTATGGAACAAAGCATTCTTGCTGCAGAAACTCAGTATCCGCTCAGATAATGTAAATGCCTCAGCTGCTGTGCAAGCAATGATGTTATCACAACAAAGTTGGCAATTTTCCGGAGTGCAGTGACACCCTTTGAGACAACAGCAACATCTACAGAAACAGGGACAGACTCTGGTTTTCCCCTCACTGCGAGCTGTCTGAAATAAATGCAGTGCAAGAAGCAAGCCAGCACAGCCACAACTGCTTTCGTCTGGTTGTCCTCATCCAACAGAGGGAGAGTGTGGCAAATGAACTTGGTTATGGAAATGGAAGAAGCCTGAAAGAAAATCTGTGTAGGTGGGGAGACAAGGGCAAAATATCAGGTAAAAGCACCTGTCTTGAGCAGCTGAGAAATGAAATAGAAAACCAAAAAAATGATCAGACCAACACACATGCCATCTTGCATGAATGGCTAAATTCTTACCAGAAAGAGGCAATGGGCATCTGCACTTAAAAACCTAATTTGTGATAACAAATTTGGGGTTTAATATACTGTAATGTAGAGTTAAGGGCCAAGATATAAACTTGGCTGGGGAAACAAGCCTGAAAGCATGCTCCACCAGAACATGTAACCATCTAAAACTGAAATGCTTTGACACAACTGAACTGGTTTTCAGCAGTGTTTGCTCTCTTGAAAACATCTTTCTTACTGTTCCTTAAATTATTTAAGTAGGACACAGATATTTTCAGGGTGAAACCACTAGTTTTGAAACAGCTTTAACATTAAAAATCTAAGTACAAAAAAATAAAACACTATTTCAACAGACCAAAACAATTCTTTCCCTCCTCCTCTCTCAATTAGCCTTTCAAAAACTGTGTAATGCAAGGTTTTGCTTCAACAGAATATTTGTGAGTACAGCTGTAACTATTTTTCAAAAAAACAGAATAAATGGAAAAAAAATGGATCAAAGCACAGAAGCACTTCTTCAAGTTGGGTCCTGCTTTGCTTCATCTTGAAACAGAGTGAAGTCTCTAAACCATTTTGTGTAACTCCATATTGGTCTTGTCCGTCTTTCAGTTCCCATCATTGAGTCTCTCATGTCTTGATTGATGTTCTACTCCATGTTTTGCGTTGATACATCTCCCTTGCTCCTCTGAAATCTATTCTGCATGATACTATTAAAAATATTTTCCTGGTCAAAACTATCCACTTCTTCGCTACCCCTCCACTGCTTTTTGGTTCTTCCCCAGAGATCAAACACAAATGCCTTGGTTTCTTTGCACATTTTTCAGAATTTAACACTTAAGGCCTCTCTCCCCTTGATGTCCTCTGGGTGCAGGAACAGCTCAGGAGATGGAGAAAAAGAGTGGAAACAACAGAGAAAAAAACTACCCCCCAAAAGACACTGTTCAGTTCTTAAGGCTCACCACAAAATATGATTTCCTCAAAATGCTGTTGGTTAGACTAGTAACCAAGCTTTTGAAACCATAACCAAACACTCCACGTTTTTTTTTCTAACTGACAACTTTGGTGACACATGTAGAAGTTGGGCTCCCTGGGACAGTGCCTCATTTTTCCAAACGTTGCAGGGCACAGAGAAGGTCCCCAGCTCTGGGCAGGCACCTGCAGAGTCTGACACCTCAGAGACAGAAAAAATGTCCTAAACATGTTTTAATAGAATGCATGACCACAGGGCAGATAAATACAGCAAAACAATTTTTAAAAGTCTCTGCTTAAGGTGTCCATAAGAGATGTACATTTGCCGTTGCTTCCTTTTAAAATAATGCCAAAGGACCAAGTGCTACAATAAATACTTTTAGAACCAATTTGGAATTTTTAGCAAATCAACCAAAAAACCCTCTCATTGACAAGAGAGAGATTCCTTTCATGTAACATCAGCATGAATAGTTGAACTCTAAACTGGTAAAGCAGACACATGGTTCCCGTGAAGATTATGGCTCCATAAAGGACTGCACTGTTTAAAACAAAAAATTTTGATACAAAAATAAAAAATTCTAAAGAAAATTAATTAAAATTATGTTTCTTCTCAAGAAAGAGAAGGCAAGGTCCTAGAAGCATCATGCAAAGGTTTGCTTACAGTCTGGCTTCAGGAGCTATGAGTGCTCCATGATCCAGCCAGAAGCAACGGAATCAGTAAGTGTCCAGCACTTTCAAAACACAATTCATCATTAGGAAGCTGAGACTGGTTAGTCTGAATAAATATTTTCTCAAGGTGTACTCTATTACAAATGGGCTAAATTAGCTTCAGGAGTTTGAACTTTTAACAGCCCCAAACAGAATTACTAAATTAGAGAGCAGATAAAGCCTACTTTCAGATGGTCCATTTCCCATTCAAAGACATCAAATGCTCTAAATGAAGAGAGTGATTATCTTTCCACTTGATACTAACAGCTTTTCTTTGTGCCATTTCTTCCCACACTGAGCTTTCAAGACTGCGAACTGGAAAAGAAATTTGGCAATACTGAAAAGTATGTTGTTGAAAGCTTCTTGAATCAGTTTTCTGTTGGACAAAAAGTGACTATTTCTTGTTAGGGATACAAACTGCATTAAAACCACACTGATGGAAAATGACTTTAAATTTGGATATGAGCATATAATTTGTCTCCCACACACTTGAGTTCCTTGGGTTATTCACTTTATTGCCAAGCTAAGCATTTAGTAAGTCAAAGTAATTCCTGGCAAGCAATTTCAGCACACACATATTGAACAGTTTTTAAGTTGCAGCTCACAGGCAAGCATCACATCTGTACTGCGTGCTCTTACATGGCTGTCAGCAACTTCTGGTGGCAAGTAGCAACACCAGGATAACACAAGCAAAGCAATATTAAATGAAAGAAAATTAGGACAAAACATACAAAAAGGGTACAATGGGAAAAAATGAAAGGTCTCTGGCAGCAGAGCACAGAAACCCTCAAACAAGCCCTGTCATAAGCCTGCTGGTTCATCTATGTTGCCGGCATCAACTGGATCTAGGCTGCTGCGGCAGAAACTGTTTCACAAACAACTGGAAGCCAAGTGCAGAAGGTAAGCAGGGCATCAACTTGACCAGCAACTGGTTAAAAGAGTCTTAACAGTCTTAATTGTGCACCCATGGGTTTGAGACAATACCACAAAACAACCAGATGCCCACAGGGAGGGAAGCCTTCTGAACCTCCATGGCAAACACATTCACAAACCCAAGCAGGCCTGATGGAGTTTGGTGCATGAACTTAATTTTCAAGACTTCTGCAATGCAGCCATTGTTCCCTCAACTTAAAAACGGGCTTATCTTCTTGTAGTTTGTAAATGGTGAGAGAGGATCTGTGCTACTGAGAGCAATTTGGGTGGTTTAAGAAACCAAACCAAAGATGTGGTACAACAGCTCTGTGTGTGACCGCAAGCAGGTTGGTGAGCATTTAGCTTAAGAAAGTTATATTATGCCTCTGAAAGAACCTTGGGTTTTAAAATCTAGCTTGAACCACAGCTTCTTTTCGTGTTTTTGAAGCTTTTAATTACAGAGATGAACAATATCTGCTGTGGTTAGAGGCTGAAAACTCCTTGTAAAGGATCTGCAGCATTACACATTGCAGTAGGTTGTCACACAGCACCAACACAGTATTACAATTATAAATGCAACACTTGAAAAGTTATTTTCTAATTTGCTGCTTCTGCTACTAAACAAGTTGCCAGAGACAGACTCAATGTTACACTGAATGAATTTGTTCTACTATAGCAAACCTGAAACAGGTTCACTGCAGCCAGTTTCCGCACAGTGAAAGAGAAGGAAGGCTGCTAGTCCTGTGATCCTTGACTCTTCCTGTTGTGAAACACAATGGGTGAGCAATTGACAGGAAGAGGCTGGGCAGAGAAAATAATCCTGTCTGGGTCTGAAAGTGGATGGGTGGAGGGAATCAAATGCCTCCTCTGAGAGAGCGCCTTTATACATGAAGAGCTGTGGAGAGAGCCCCATTTCCTTCCAGGGACAGGAGGAAGTTCATATCTCTTACTTACGTGTGTTTTCATTTCATTAGCTACTGTTGTTGACATCATGACACAACAGATGATAGTCACCAGGATGAAGTAAAGTGCATACATGAAACGGGTGCTGGTTGACTGTTTTATCTTGGGGCAGCATTTGCAGCACAAGGAACAAGCCGCAGTACCACAGCAGCAGGCCAACTGGAAAATTAGACAAAAGACACAAGTCATTCCATCACTGCCTTTAGGTTTCTATTGCAAAAGTCAGACAGGGAAGCTGGGAGACTTCCTGTAAAGCTCCAGAATTTCTTAAGTCCTCTCCTCCCAGTTGAGCACTATTTAAGTGGAAGCAGCCTGTCTTGTTTTATACTAAAAGTCAGTAGGTTTAAGCACATCTGTTCCTAGCTTTCCCACATGCTAAGGATGAGAGCAAAGAGGATGAGGAAGAACCTCTCCCTATTTCTTAATCCTGCTTTTTGCTATCCCTGTGCGGCTTGTGATCCTGACATGTTTTACTCAGCAGAACAGACACTGCAATGGTATGGCTCTATTTCCTGCAATACATTCTCCTCCCTCTATCGTGAAGCAACAAATCTGTACAAGAAGGGCACAGTTGCCCAAACTGTTTGCTTTTAACATACAGACAAAACTATTTTGTTTCTAAGACAAGCTGGATGTTTTGTTTCAAAACAAATGTACAGATCCATTTCAATTCACCAGAACAATACCATCCTTTTTAAGGTGCCCCTTCTGGTACAGACACAGAGGAAAAAAAAAAAATTTTTTTTTTTCCCTACAGAACTTTTTATGCTACTAAAAACTGAGCAAATTAAAGGGGGGAGGGATAACTGTTTAAGCCACACTTTGGGATAGTTGTGCTGAAGGCTTTGTAAACAGACATCACCTACACAAAACCCAAACAAACTTAAACCAACAAACAGAAAACGAGATTACATTAACAGTTCTAAATATTTTGGGTGGTAGAGAAGGAATCTGCAAATATGGCCTACTGCAAACAAAGCAAAAGATAGCTGAGCTTGAAGGACCCCCAATATAATGGCATCATCTTGTACTGATAAAGCCACAGAAGAAATGCAACTTCACAGTTATTTAAACACACTTTGCAATAATGGAAGACGTGATTCCATGCGGAAGACAGCAAGGAAAAGAATCCACAGGTGCAAGGAAATGAATACTAAGTCACACTTTACCTGACACTGTGTCCAGTGTTGAAACATTATTAGAGACAGAAAGTCTTGTGTATTTTACATCTTTTCAAAACCAAGAAGCACAGAAAAATCATGTAATTGTCTTATTCAAGAGAGAAGAAGGTACGGAATAAATCCTGAAAGGGATCTAGCTTGTTGCTCATTATTTCCTTGCTGTCAGCAGTATCATTAACTTTCAAAGAAGCTGGATTCACCTTCTCTGCTTTTTTTTTTTTTTAGAAAAGTCATATATAAAAATGTAAATATAAACCTTATTTTTATACATAAGACAGCACTGTGCTTGTCCAGGCCCTTCCTTGCAATAGGCAGCAGCTTCATTGGCTCCCATGATTAACCCAGCAGCCACAACCACAGGAGGGATTTTTGGACATCAGGAGACATCCAGGAGCAGCGAACCTCTCTTCCAGGTCTCACTGCTGCCAACCCACAGCAACATTGCCCCTCAGCACGCAGGCTCCCTGCGGCTAGTACAGGGCTGCTGTGTTGCCAGTGCCAGGGACTCAAGCACACCAAAGCCACTTTTTCCCAGTGTTTCTTCAGCCCTCAGAGGGGCCATAGAGATGTTCAGAGGACTCCCCTGCTTTCCAGCAAGCAGTTGTACAAGATGGATGGCTTTTCTTAGTCTTTGACAAGAGATTCAAAATGCAGAAGTGCTACATTTGAGTTGCCCAGACAAACTTGACTGGCTTGTATGTGCCTTCAGGTGCCAAACCACGATGCACTATTTTCCTCCCAGGACATTTCCAGCACCAAGGACTGTCCAACACAGAGAAGGGGATTTCACATGTGTGTTTGCAGATATGCATATCTGATAAAACTACCCAGAGTCTCACAACCAGACAGGCTGATCGAAGAGCCCTAAATAATTTTGAAGGAGTATCTTGAAAAGACTCCTAGCCTATTATTTCCTTGCCATGACTATCTGCTGACACACCAAGGCTTCTTGCCTTCAGTCCTTCAGAGACGGTAACGGACAGTCCCCTGCCTCACTCAAGAACAGCTCTATAGTTTGCTGAAAACCTAAAACTGGAACAGTCCAACCCGACTCCCACACTGTCCTTCTCTCAGTTCACTGCTGGATCTCACACCAGAGAAGATGGGGGCCTCAAAGCATGCAGCTGCTAAAACTGCTGCTGCTGCAAAACAGAAATCCTCCCCAAAACACACAAAGCTTCAACTGCAGGGAATAAACAGAATGGGCTCATGTTGGCACCAAAGCTGGAAATTAAAAATACTACATGCATAAGTACATCATGCAAGCATACTTTCAACATAGAAGGCAGTGGTGGCTGAATGGCAATTTTATTTTTTATATGTAGTGAAGTTAACTTTTACAGCATCAATACAAGTCCAACAAATAAGGAAACTATGGCAAGTTACTGATTCAGCAATGTTTTGCTGATCAAGGATGACAAGTAAATTCAGACACCAGAGTGAAAAGAGTAGGCTTATTTTACTGTTAATAATTAAAGGACATAACCAAGTAATATAAAGAATAAGCAATAAGAAAAATACAGAATAGTACACTTAATTATTTCTACATGCAGTTAACTATAGAAAATAAGAATAAGCAAGGTATGCACCTAATCATTACTACATGATGGGGAGAACAGAGATTAAGAAACATCCATCACCACTTGCATATGTTACCATCATCCAGATCTGCAGTCACTGGCGTGGCCCAGCTGCAGGGAGGATTTGGAGAGCCTGTCTGGCCAGTGGGAAATCCTACACGATGCGTCTATCCGTAGGTGAGGCATCCAAAGTTGCAGCAAGAGGGTGCTGCCTTATATATCAAAAATCAGCAAGACAAAATGACTTGCACCTTCCTTTGAGTGGAAACATCTGGTTTCATCCTCCTGTTGGATTCCACCCAAAGCCTGGCCAGGGCTCAAGGGGGAAGAACCAAGGAGTTTCCAACAAGGCCAAACACCTTGTCAGCCTTGAACAAGGCCAAACAGAACCAAGGGAGTCTCTTTATCTACTTGGTTCTGTTCTCACAAAGTTTCCAACAAAGCCCAACACTTGGTTTCGCAGCCTTGAACAAGGCCATACAAGGAAAGCTGGATACATTCTCATGACATTTCATCCTCACGACTGATTGTATTTTGTCTAAGCTACATCTTTCACTAATGAGCATACTTTTTTTGTTAATGATCAGATATTAATAATAAGCGCTAACGGTAATACAGATTTTACTAATTAGCAAATACTAATAATGGATAACATTTGGTTGTGAGGTTCATCTAGAGATCAACTTAGTTTCAGGGCCTATTATTCAGGCCCTAGCACTACGTGCAAACAAATTGAATAACAGTTCAAAACAAAAACATATCAGAAAAGTGTAATCCATCCAGTTCAGAATTACAGAAATAAAAAAAAAAAAATTAAGACTAAAGGTCCTTTCAATCTGCATCAGCCAACCCAAAGTATCCACGACGAACTTCAACTCCTGGCCATATTCACCACAGTGTTAAAAACTGTAGTACAGAAGTAAGAAGGTATGCAGCTTTGGTATTTGTAAGGGGAACATTTTCCATAAGCCAGGTGCTAGAGAGCTCTGCCAGTGAAATCTCATCTACATCTAGCAACATGTCTGCTATTACAGTCCCAGGTCCCTGGAGCTGCTACTTAAAGCAACAAATACTTAAATAGTGTATAAAGCTCATTTATGCATTGTTCCACATCACTTAGACTTTAACAATAGTTACTAATATTGAGCATGTACCCTATAAATTGGCAATATGTGTGAAAAATACCCGTGCCTCCATTTTTTTTCAGAAGCATTCCTTTAAGCACTCTGAATAGCCATGGAAACCATAGAAAGTTGGTTAGATTATTCAGCATCAGTCCCAAATCTGGTATTTGGGGGTTTTTTTGTCGTTTGTTTTGGGTTTTCTTTTTCAAACTCTGGTTATGACTAACTACATTCCAGAGTGGGCCACAGTGAAATAGGTATTATCCAAATATAAATGAAAACAGTCTCTGTCCCAAAGAGTAAGATGCTGGCCACAACTTACTGACCCAAGAGGTTTCACGGACATTGTTTTTGAGTGACAAACTTCACAGCCCACATATGCCATGAGTTCTCTGTTGAAAGGTTGTGGTCAAGGTGCAACTATGCTATGCAATTCCTCTGATGTCAGATGCTTTACCATGGGCATGGCCCATCTTGCCTTGCCTCTCTGCCTTATGACAGTAGCAAGGGTCTGCCCAGGGGCTCAGGACCCACCAGTGCAAGAGTGCAAGCCGGTAACAGATTCTTCCCAGGTTGAAAAAAAGCAAGTAATGTCATAAATATTTTACCGATCTTATCATCAAACAAAAGCTCCTCCAAAGGACAAGTTCTGCACAGGGAAGGTGCTGTGTGGTTTTCAGGGCAGAGACAACCCAATGTCTGTGATTGCTGCCAGCTGGCAGGCCTTGAAAATCCTGGTCTGTACCTACAGAGCTCTTCCAAAGTCCTATTATCCTTTCAAGTTGATGGTTCCCAAGAGCCCAGCACAATGGCAACCAAATGTCAGGCTGCTCTGTCAGGAGTTTGTCATGCTGCAGTAAGTTCTGGCTTCGAGTCTTTCTCATCCAAAGGCTCCCACAAGTCAGGCAGCAAGTGCAGCCATACCAGCTCCCTCTCTAGCTTTACAACTCCTCACCAGGTGAGCACCGCAGTCACACAATAATTACAAGCATTAGGCAAATATTTATGCTTTCCACAAATACTTACAATCAGCCAGCCCCACCATGACACCAGGCCTCCACAGTGTAGACAGGCCGCCTTCTTTGCTCGGTGCTACTCTTTCAGAGCTCAAGGAGAGTGCTGTGCCGATTTGACTGAGATCTTTAAACTTGAAAACCTGGTGTACTTTAAAACAGACTGTGCCATGATTTGAACTGCCTGGATGATGGCTGACTTGACGGGTTTCACAGCAGCTGTGCAAAGCTGCGTGGGAAATTTTTTTTGTTAAAAATATT